TGGGTTTGTGTAGAGAACGGAGACGAATCAGTCCCCGAAAGGATGTGTTTTAAAAAGAAAACAGGATATTTTTAAAAAAATAGACAAGACGATGGATAATGTCCAAAAACATATTATTTGTTGTTATAAACGTAATTAAAAACTATCACGCCTTGCATAATTGACGAATTTATTTAATTGTTCTCTCATTGCGGGTGATATTTACCTCGGAATCAAATGAGCGGGGGAAATTTCATGACGGATTTTGAAGTAGAAACTTTGCTTTCGACTGGAAAACCACGATTCATGCTACTTTATTTTTAAAAACTAGGACCTTAGTCAAATTTGTTCTAATTGCAGGAACATAAGTTATATCACATTGACAAAATCACTAAGCACTTATATCTGCACTACTTCGTGGCTTTGTCATCAGACAGAGACACCTGAAGTCTACAAACCTCGTACGGTATCAACGGGTCGCCGTCACCAATATGTAGACTTACAGGCGCAGTGATGGCTGCCAGGTTGTAGTCTGGTGGCTCTGGCGTTCCGTAGTGCTTCAAGTTAAGGGCAGTGCCGTGGTCATACTGCCGAAATCTTCCTGCGGAAAATTTCAGTTAATTTAAAGTCTCCTACAGTCACCTATTATTTTTTATTATTTTTAGTAGGATGAGATTAAGACTGAGTCCATTTGATACGTCGACCAACTACTGTACCAGTCCCTGATGATAGATGATGATAATGAGTATGAACAAGTCGGTGGAATAAGAATTGGCAGGGGAATCCGAAGTACTTGGAGAAAAACTGCCCCAGTGCCACTCTATCCACTATAAATCCCATATGACCTGAACCGGGCTCGAACCCGAGCCGCCGCTGCAGTGCGAAGCCAGCGACTATCCGCCTGAGCTATGCAGCTCTAGCTACTTCGCGTAATGAATTACATCTGTCCCATGCTGAATTTGATTAGTCTCGTGCTCCTCCACATATAGAGATAGCTACGAGAATACAGAATAACCTACTACGTACGTTTTAGAAGAGGTAACCTTCCAGCCCACGAGTTAGGCAGGAGGGTTAGAAACACCTCATCGTAAGAAAATAGCATATTACATAATTTTCTTGCTCGGGTTTTAATATTGGGCTTATAGAATCCAGGGAGACTTACAAGGCATGTACCATGCGCAAAGGAGGTAGGTATACATTTTCGTTTCGATGATAATTTGTGTCTCTTTTCCGTTGATGCGTGAAACAGTTCCGTATGATCAGCTTAGTTCACATTAGTTTCCTCTAATATTTTCTGGACCAGAGGCATTTTCCGTTTAATCCAGATTCCGCTTTAGACAGTTTATGTTGCATAACCAAGGAGCTAGTTACGACCTCTGCGTTCGGAACTGTCTATGATTCTGAAAGAAAATTTAGTTTACTGGATAAATAACCTTAGAATTATTTTAGAACTTGTACACTTAGTTAATGTAAAAATACAAATAGTGTTACATAGAACCGTTAAGTCACTCGACAAATAAGTTGAAATCCGTTATTCGCAATATACAACCAACAAGTTTTATCAAACACATTTGCAATGAAATTTTATTTGAAGAAAGCAGTCTTCTTGTATTTGGCACCGTGTATATGTGGTGTTAACCGACGTTTCGGAGGAACGTATCGCCTCCATCTTCTGGGTAGAAGGAAAAATATAAGAAATCCGCA